TAAGAAGGAAACACAGCAGAAACAGAAGATCCAAGGCAAGGGTGTTAGGGAACCCAAGGATCCACGCCCCGGCGGCCCAAACTTCCTGGATGCACTACATCTTTATAAGCCTGCATTCTGTTACACTGCAGAAATGTCCACAGCCTTCCTCATGTTTCTGAAAACTTAAAGAAAGAGTTTATATTATTCTAGTTTTAATTGCTGATCTTACATTCGAAAAATCTTTGTTGTCTTTTTCATTAACAATCAATCTGGTTCTTACACTTATTTGTTGTTTTTTTGACTCTTTTCAGCATACTTTACCTCAACTATGCTATTGTCCTCCTTATAAGTAATAAGTCAGTTCTAATGCCATCATTAAACTTCTACAGATGCTTAGAGATCAAGGATGAATTAAAGAATACATACTCAGCATCATTGCTAAAATCACTGGCCATGCTATCCCAGACATGTCCTTTATGAATATTTGTGTCCTGAGACTGTGGCCCACATTTTGTCATTTATTCTATTTTCCAACATCAAAATCCACCTTCTCTCTTACTGGCCCAGATGTAGACCTCTTATTTGACAATCATACGTACCACAGATGTAGACCTCTTATTTGACAATCATACGTACCAAATAACAAATTCTATAATTTTATTTCTCATTTGTCTCAACTGTTTTAAATGACTCAATATTTTTGCACTGTACATTTATAATTACATTTACAATAAAATGAGTGTGTGTATGTGTTTGTATTTTTGAGACTAAAATGTGATAAAACTATGAATAAATAGAAATTCAGTGCTTTTTATAGCTATATCTGTGATCGTAACAGGAAATGTGAGGTTATACATCTTCACTCATAAAATGCATCTTCATGGCAAATGATCAAATATTTCTACAGTGAACACTGAATATTTACAATAAATATAGCTGTATATAGGAGGAAAAACATAAGAATAAATTATAGGAGTGGGGAAGGAAATAATATAAATAATATCACAGATATTTAGTGGAGATTAATCATCAATATTCAATAAAGTATAGAACTGCTTATTTCTTGAAATATGAAGTTTTTACTATAAATATAAGTATAGTAGTGATTTTATTTTCTTTTTAAGCTATCTGAAAAATTTTAAAACACTGTCTCTTCTCATCTTACTAACATTTCCCAAAGACCCCTGGCTATGCACTAACTGTACTTCAGCTTCTTCCTATTTATAAAATTTGACATTTTTTGCCCTTATATTCTATCAGAAACTAGTTACACATGTTACCTATGAAAAGAAGTAATGTCAACAATAAAATAGCTCCTTAACTATACTGAGATATTTCATTCAGAATTATAGATATTAAACACATTATCAAAATGTATGCTTCTTTCAAAAAATAAATTTATCCAAAGTGATAGGGAACTGTACTTCTCTAGAAAATATAAATAATGAATTTTCTTTGCTCCATACTCTTCTTTTCATGAAATTCACTGGGATTGTGCTGTTGGGAATAAATTTCAGGATGAATTCTCCACGGAAAGTTTGGAAACATGGGTTCTCTACAATTGTAATACTCAGGAATAACAACAGCAAGAATACTCAGCTCTAAACTCTGCAATCTACTAATAAGAGCTACTAACTCAGAAGCGATGATTTTAGGAAGTTCAAGCTTTAGAAAGTATTTCAAGGTTTTCCTACATCTATCTTCTACCAAAGATAATAACTGGCAGAGGTTTTTTAAGGTCTATGATAATGAGGAGAACAAAGGTGTCAACTGGTAATTTCTATATTATCATCAATGTTAAATGTCACCTATTTACTTTTTCCAAGTCTACCTTGAGACTATTATTATTACAATAAAACATCCCTAATAATCTGAGTGTTACTCACTAGTGCTAAGAATAGGAAGATATGGTAAATCTGAGTATTCTTGAAATCACTACATCTCTAAATAATGCTTATTGTTTTGCTGCTATCAAAAATGCTCACTTAAGGATTTTATTTCTATTGTCTCTTGTACCAGGGAAATGCTGGAGTTAGAGACTTGCTATTTTTTACAAGTGGTTGGAGATGGTAAGCCACCATCAATTACAGGCAATTTGGACTTCATTACAAATTAATGAAGTGATAATTGCTCTGCAGAACCATTTATGTGCAAAGCATCCTGTGTCATTTGCCTTACTTTCTTGTTTATACTTCTGCATTCAAAGACCTGTTATAGCTTGCTTAACTTACACTACAACAAGAGCTCCATGATTAAAATAATATTTTACATCAAATTATGAAAACCCCACACACCACATGCTGTTTTATGTCTAGGAAAACAATATTAATAGTAAAATGAATTTGCAAATGATTTGTGAAGTGTAAACTCATCCATTCTTATCAGAAATCTTGACTTTAAAAATGTTAAAGGCAAACAACTTATTTTCAAATAACATTGTCAGGTTCAAAGTAATCATACCGTCCAGGGCTTTTCCTAGCTTTATACTTGATGATGTCACTATAGAGCCAATATAAAGATATGAGTTATGACTGAAATGTATGATAAATGCTTAAATTTAAAACTATTATTTTGATCAGAAAAATACCACCAATAATCACCCTCAAAGTACTGCTCTTTGTTTTAGACACTTTGTCCTATTGGTTTTGCCACTTTCTGAAGCAGTTTCTGGAAGTCTTCTTTCATGACTGTCTTCATCACATATGATCAAAAATGCAGTGAATGCTGCTACTACATGCCATCTAGGTGAAAGTCAGACTTGTAAAGCTTGGTGGTGTGCTTCCCCTGGCATCATGTGACTTTGGGATTTTTCCCAAGGTCATACTTTCTAATAGAGATGACACCACATAATAAAGACTTTATACCATGGTGTACCAATTCTTCACTTTTTTCTTTATGTTGTATTGAACTTTCATCTCAATTTTGCTTTAAATGTGGCTTTGCTAATACCAGTACAGACGCTTCAGTGTTAAGTTCTTAGAATCAAGACTCTCCTTTTACATTTTTCTTCTGAAAAGCTTCCTATACATCTATAGACTAAATATTCACAAATAGTACATAGGTAATTATTAAAATTACCTATTTGTCTGAATATTGTCTTTCCTCATATGCAGATGTATATAGATCATGTATGTTGTTTCAGAGTTTATAGTGTCACACTTTGTTCCTAGTTGGGTCAACCTTTGGTTTAATGATAAAACTAAATCATTTTTGTCTCCATAAAATAAGTACCTATTTTACAGCCTAGATTCTAGATGATTAATATTACAAAATAAGTGCTGCTTTTTAAAAACTCATTTTGTTTTGTAAGTTATTAAAGTAAGGCAGGGAGAACTAGAAAATGTTAAGCATGTTTCTCATACTACCTGGTCCAGGTAATTTTTTTGATAATTTGAGAACCTGAGATAATTTTCCTAAAGTTGTCTAAGAGTCAAATAAGTAGCATCTTTCTTAATTTGTGGTTATCACCACCAATTTAATTAAATAATGTTTAATCTTATTTTTGTTTAGAATTTATGGTTAGAAATTCATGTGTTGCTTTCACAAAAAGAAATATTATCAATATACTTTAAATGCTGTTTATTTGGTTAAAATTGTTTAAAACTCTTTTTGTTGGTAAAAATAGTGGGGAAAAATCTAAAGTAGTATTTATTATAAGATTTTCAATAGATTAATCTATAAAATAAAACACTTTCTCATGGAAATTATACATTCTCCCATCCATGTATATATCATGTTTTGTAATTTCCCAAAAAGTGAAGTTTTTTTTTTTTTTTTTTTTTTTTGCTGTGTACCATGACAGAAACAAAGAGGTCAAAATTTACCAAATGTTTATTAAATAAACCTAAACTAACTTAGCCACACTTTGTAATTAAATTTGCATTGAGAAAATGTATATTTTCCAAGAAATTTCCTCAAGAAACAAAGGGTTATAGGAACAGAAAAAAGAATAGTTCAGGGGAGTTATTTCATAGACATGGGAATAGAGGACAGAACATCCAACAACAATTCTTGAAAACAGTAGACGAATTCACATTGATATGAACATGGGACATATGTAAGGGAAAATGTAATTACTAATTTTGATTCAAACTTTAAAAGAATTAACACGTACATTGGAAACTTTGTGAAGAAATGCAAATGCCAAACTACACAGGTTAAAAGTTTCTGCATAGTTAAAAAGGGAAGCATATAAGATTTTGAGTTCACAAAATGTCAAAAATGTTTTTTTCTGGAAGCAGGAGAAAATATTGGACATGGTGAAAAGAAAATATAGACACAAGGATAATGGTTTGAAACAGCTGGCATAATAGTTGTAGGATCATAAGTAATATAAACAATATAATGTAGAGTTAAAACTTCAAAATCTGTTCTAAAAAAAGTGAAATAACATAAATATTACTTTACTCTTCTAAGAAGGCTTGAAATTTTCAAGTTATTTGTAGTGAGAAAATATTGTATTTGTATAACCTAAATTACCGTAATAACAACAGCAAAACATATAATTGTATGTTTATTGACTATGTAAAATCTGAGTATAAAACATTAAATTTGAAATGTATACTATACCATGTCTTTTGTTCTGCATGCATAACTCTTTAAGTTTTTATTTTTTGGGGAGATTTTTGACATTTTCACATTCTTACTTAAATTTTCTCTCCTGGTTTTCCAACATGGATCAATGGAAATGACTTAAATACCTTTTAAAATATGCAAAAAGATACATGGTTAAGGGCAGAACCCAGATTCACTGTACATGAAATTTACCAGAACTGTCAAAATTATTTTCTGTTTATGAAAATGAACAAACAATACATATACAACAAAACCATAGTGTAGTATGATTGGAGGGAACTTATTTCAGGGTTTGACCTTGATAAGTGTTATGGTTTGTGTCTAGGTGGACCCCCTGCCATGCCTCATGCAGTCATGGAGATGGTTGCATCTAGTGTTTGTGATTGGTTTGCTGTCTACCACTTCTTAATTCTACCTCTCTACCACTTTCTTTGCTTCTTCAGTGGGAAGAGATAAGTGGTGTTGATGAACATTACACACCTATCAGGACTTACCAGGTATGCAATGTCATGGATCACAGTCAAAATAACTGGCTGAGGACAAACTGGGTCCCCAGGAACTCAGCCCAGAAGATCTATGTAGAGCTCAAGTTCACTCTGCGGGACTGCAATAGTATTCCATTGGTCTTGGGGACATGCAAAGAGACTTTCAACTTGTACTACATGGAGTCTGACGATGATCATGGAGTCAAGTTCCGAGAGCACCAGTTTACAAAGATTGACACCATTGCAGCTGATGAAAGCTTCACTCAGATGGACCTTGGGGATCGTATTCTTAAACTCAACACTGAGATTAGAGAAGTAGGTCCTGTCAACAAAAAAGGATTTTATTTGGCTTTTCAAGATGTTGGTGCTTGTGTTGCTTTGGTTTCTGTGAGGGTGTACTTCAAAAAGTGCCCCTTTACAGTGAAGAATTTGGCCATGTTTCCTGACACAGTGCCCATGGACTCCCAGTCCCTGGTGGAGGTTAGAGGTTCCTGTGTCAACAATTCTAAGGAGGAAGATCCTCCCAGGATGTACTGCAGTACAGAAGGTGAATGGCTCGTACCCATTGGCAAGTGCTCCTGTGATGCTGGTTATGAAGAGAGAGGTTTTGTGTGCCAAGGTAAGATACAGCCTACTGTTTTCCTATGAGTGGTATTTTTCACCTGTAAGTTTATCATCAGGGGAAAGGAAACAAACCCAGTTTGAGCTCATTTATAGTAAACATGCCTCAAACTGACCACACTCTATTCGCATATTAAATTTATCTCACCTCATATGTTGACTCATGGTTTATTGTAGAAATATTATGCTTGGTTATATGGTGGTGGGCCATACCATATAGAGGTGCCATATATACTACTGTCACGTTTTTCTTGCTTTTCAACCCTGATAGTAATCTAACTCTGTTCCAACAATAGAGAAAAAACATGTTTCTTTTAGGTAGAAGGTGGAAACATCTTTGGTATTCAGCTAACATAGTTTTAACATAGCTAGATATTGTGGTGACTATATTTTTGTTCATCTAAATCATAACAGTTTTTACTTACTCACTATGAAACACAGCACATGACCATCAAAGAAGAATTACCTATTAAGTATTAATGGGAAAATTCCGCGATTTAAGAATCTAGTCCTGATAAATTATTCCTGTTGTATATACTTTAGCAAGTGATAACAAACTTATGACACACATGCTATTGTGTTCTTTTAAGACAAAAGATGTTAATGTATAAGTTGTTTTTCTAAAGCAGAACCTCAATAATCAGGTTTAATTGCAACGCTGACACTTTTTAATAGTGAGCTCTCAGTTGCACTTTGGGCACTTTTCTAAAAGTCTCGCCTTCACTGCTGTAGGTATAACTTCATTTTGGTCCATTATTTCGCCAATTTTACTGACAAGGGCAACACCTGTATCTCACCTTAGTTGTAACTTTATATTTACAGTAATTAAAGAGAATCTGAATTTTGCCATTATGTTTATTCTTATTAATGCATCTTTGCATTTGATGATATAAAAGATCTGAAATATTCTGAAAGTATATTCTAAAGGTATAAATGAATATATAAGAAAACTTCAGTACACAATCTTTAGAATTTTGACCATTTCAGTACCTTTGTTTGCTGTTGCACTCTGTCAAAAGAACATTCTACTTACAGGCATTTATTAGTCACTGTTTGTAAGCCCATGTAGAAGAAAAGTATATAATATAATATAATATAATATAATATAATATATATTTGCCTTTTAAAGTATATGAATAGATCATAAAATATGCTGTTGAATATAGAAAAAATAATAAAGTAATAATGTGCTAGGCGCAGGAGAGATATAGATGAATAAGTTATTTTATTTACCTTTCAGGAGCTCACAATCTAGTATGAAAGCCAGATACATAAATGAATAATTTTCATGCAAGAGAGACTAATAAATCTTCTTCATCTTCTACAAGAGGTACAATGTGCCTTGCCACTGTAGTGGAAGAAGATTAATTTCAAAATTAATCATGGGAATTGTTAATTATGCAAAGATTTTGCATTCAGATTTTGTACTCATTTCTATTATGTCTGAAAACTTTGAGCTACAAAGAAAAGGCTAGATACTTTGTACAATTTAGTCACTCCACAAGGCAATATTTGTAATTTGTTTATTGAATAAATGTTTTAAGACATCAAAATACATAGGAGGCTCACAAGAGCATTGTTTTCTGGGTTTGTGTCCTGGAATATCTTAAATATCTAAACTGCATTACTGGGCCATTTTCAGACTTTAGCACTAAAGTTCTCCAAATTATGTATGCCAATCTAGCAAATAATTGTGATGGTGTCCAGTACACTAAATGATGAAAATATTACAATATCTATTTTATAGGAAAATAAATATATTGATAAAAATGTTTTGCACTCAACAATCTATTGATTTTAAAATAATAAAGATAATATTGAAAATCAAAACAACTTTATACAGGAGCAGAATTCTAACCTTGGGATTATATCTATGTTTTTATAATGTATAATTTTATAATAATCCATTCATCTGAAATAGGTTAAATTATTAGAGAATATACTTTGACCACTTATTTAAATGAATTTTATTGAGCCCATGAGATGTGTCCAGTCTTACACTGACACAAGAAAAAGAATTATGAATAATACCAGTGCTAAATTTATTTGTTTCATAGTTTATAAATGTGTGTGTTTGTGTATGTGTGAATTTAAGAAATGTTTTTCCACAGCCTCTAAAGGGACATAGATTTTTAAGTAATTTATTAAACAGAATTAAATCAGTGAGAATTTAAACTGAAATACAATTTACTGATATTCTTGGGAAAGAAAAAGAGTCATGTAAATTAAAATTTTTCACAATAAAATGTTTATTATGTTTACTCTTTTTTCATTTTGCATTGATTTGTTTTTATTTGATATTTAACTAAGGGAGAGAGTTTTCAAGAAAGCTAAGAGTAGAACATAGTTCAGCTTTAACCTTCAGGGATTGTTTAGAGTGAGGAAATAAGGGAAGAAGAAAGAAATATTGGTAGCTAAAGAATTATTCTGTAATTCCATGACAAGCATAGTGAAAACAGAAAAAACAACCCCAATAAGGTAAAAATACTTATTACTGTAAACACGGTAATATAGAAGTTCATATAAAATGTAACTACATCAGCTTAACTGATAAAAGATAATGTGAAAGTTAGCAAATAATCGTCCATTAGACTTTATTTACTAGAAATTTCTCTAATTTATTATTTTAAAAATATGTCTTCTGTTTAAGCAAAGTATCCCTCATAGGAGAGTGTTCAGCTTAAAACTTACCAGGACTGTGTGCTGGACTCTGGGGTAACTTGTTAGATGAAGCTCGGTCAATGGCAGCTTGAGCTGCTTTTGTGGAATGTCAGAAACCTCCTTTAAAAAAAAGAATGCTGAAAGATTAAAATTACAAAGTGAATTAGCGAACCTAAATCCTCTGATCTTTTCTCTCTATAATGGATAGTCAAGACTTTACCTTATTGTTTCACTTGCAACAACTTTAAAATTTCTTATAAACCAGAATAACTTCATTAGCTTTTTGTTTTGGAATATTTTTGGGAAATTTCGGGGTCAACTCAAAAATACACCAAGATCTTTTTTTTACTTTTTATTTTTCATCATTATGAATTATAACATGTATTTTGATTTAATCTGTAAAAAAAATCAAGAATGCTAATGGTTTTTTATACTGAATATTAATTACATTTGAAGTGCATAGCTAGAGGCTACTATAAATTCTGCTTATACAGATTTATTTAGACTTAATGTACCAAAAATAACTTATTAATGTCACTGAAAAATCTATTCCTTTGTTTTATATGTACAAATTCATTGTGAAATAGTAACTTTATTCCTTGTTTGTTACATTAGTAGCAAACACCAAAATGTGTTTGATGGACTGTAAGAACATAACTGGACTTTTTGATGATTACTTGAAATTTCATGTGCCTTACATACAAGTTAGGAAACAAACATATTTTCCACTCATTTTGATGTTAACTCGGAAATTCTAAAACCAGCTGTGAAGTTTCAATAACAGCATACTTTAAAGGTTTGCTAATTGAGACAGACAGACTAAAGGTCTGAATACAAACTGAGTATATGTATGCAGGTACAAGGAACCATCTAGAATAGCAAGATGTTTTATATTTGAATAAATTTAGAAGCAATTTCATCGAGTATTTTCAGAGTGGAAATTCCTTGGGAAAAGACCACAGTGTCTTATTAGAAACATTGTGAAAGTCTGAGTAGGCTCTCCATCACGTACTTACTGAATGAACAGTTACTATCAGAGTTCTAAGTCAACTATGCATTCCTGAAATGTAAGTACTGGAGAGAACACAATTTATATTATTTATCTGAAGTTCAATAAGTTGCTCAGAAGATACTGTAACTAAAATTTTGATTTTATCTAATTTGAAATAAATATATTTGACTATTAGGTCACATGCAGTTATAACCAGTAAAGAGTAGATTGATGTGAACTGTCACTGGAAAGTAATTAATATATGAAGTAAAGGATTAATATTACTGTCCAAGAGAATATATATTCTACTTGTATGAATTTATGATGACTGTTTGTCTTATTTATAAATAGGCTACAAAATTCATACCTACAATGAGGTAAAAATATAATTATTTTTTGAAATCTTGATATTTGCCCCTAATATTTACATACTTACTCATTGATTAATTTTTTCCAGGACTGAGCTGAAATGTAAAAATTATTGATAATATGAGATTTTTTGAATCATGAAAAATTTGTTTTTCTTGAGTTTTAGAGTAACAGATTCATATTTATTTCCCAATGGTTGTACATTCATGATTTTCGAACTTAGTGTATTTTATTACAATTTTAAAATGCCACTGGTGAGTAATAATGTTAGTTTTCAAATACAAAATTAAATACATGTGCTATTACAGTACTGAAATAGTTATAAAATCTTTGACTTATATGAGATTTTATGTATTCTCACCAATTTGCATGATAAATTATGACAGCAATTTTTTGATCCTTAAAACCTCAGTGAGTCTGTCCCCAAATTTCAATTGCATTTACTCGTTCTATTTAGCAAGACTGTTGTCACTAACAAATGAGGGCATGTTTGGAGAGTTGTAAGAATGCTGCTTGTTCATTTTGTGACTCAACAAGTTGAGCTCTCAGCATCCACACGAGAGGGGTGGCCTTCAGAATGATCAGTGTACTGCTTAGTGTACTGCTTAGTCCATTGTATCACAGCGACCACTGAATAAAATGTATTTGAACATTATCAATATTGTCAGCCATCTGCATATTGAAATTTGCTATAAAACTTGCTCTAGTGTTTCAATGAGGTTAGACTGATAATGACAAATGTGTCTACTCAACACTCTCTTCCTTACCTTATCTAATAAAGCTCTGAGCAAGAGAAAGTGTCTTTAATTTATATACTCAGGTTTTTATTATTTATTCATTGACTGCCTACTTCCTTTCAAACAGTATATTTGTTTTCTGAACTGACTTCATTTTTTCTTCCATTTACCCTCCAGTCTATTCAACCATAAATATTTCTCTTCTTGTCTTATTGTTAATATCTCCCTTCCATCTACATC